TGATAATTGTTATAATACAATTAAATATGATTGAATTGGAAGACAACTAGGTAGTTACAAGAGGGAGTTAAAGCCACAAACATTCATTTATAATTAAACTCATTTTATAATTTCTCTATTATTTTTAAGTCTTGATTTTTTTATTTCTTACTCTTTTCAATTATCAAAATTTTAACTGTGAAATCATTGAACATTCAAAGAACAATAGTAGTGGATGATTGTAAATATGATCTTTGTAGGAATGATACTAGAAGGATGTAAAATGCTTTCTTTTTACTACAACTAATGGGTATACTTGTTCATTGGTTAATAACATATAAAGAATACTAAAACCCATAATGACTTCCAACCAACTTAGTCACGTGAAAAAAAATATGTAAAAATAAGGCAAAGCAACAAGGACCAAAAATCTATGTTGTCGAGCATAAGAACATGTGAGTTGTAGTTGTGTGTTTCTTCTTACTATGTAGCAAGTAATGACAAAGAGCTATAGGACTTATAAACATTGAAGCACAATCACATGACCTATGATGATAACATTTTTAATGAATTAAACTAATTATACTTCTATAAAGTTACCGTTGATTATAGAAATATAAAGGCAAATGAGTTATTGCGGTTGAAACTCCCTTAAATATTAAATATATTTTGAATGTTTTATTTATATTTAAGATAAATCAAAATATTTTGAGCATGCAATAAATATTTGAAAGAGAATTGTACATTTAATATTTGCAAAGAATGAACCAAATAGAGATTTATAATTTTCTTTTTGTCAACATATCTATGAGTTTCTTATTTTAAAAATCATAGAAGCAATACATTTTTAACTCTTACACATTCGTGTACATACTCTATCACGCTCTCTTTCCAAATATGCACTCCTAGTGAAATGCGATCACAGACATTCGATGCTTCTAGCACTTCTTGAGGTCTTATACAACTAGGTAAATAATCGCCAGTTAGCCCATGCACACGGATACAACATACACAATAATGGGCCCCTTAACAAAGGTATAGTTAGGAGTCTAGTTAGGAAACGAGTGTAAGGTTATGTGATGCATTCGTTCTTAGAAAAAGTGTGTATACATATGCGAATGTCGCTCACCACCCTACTTTTCCCCATATTTCCCATTGTCTCCGGACTATATACCCCTAATGTATCTCTATAACTATTTATACTAGATCCATTCAACACTTTATACTCATTCTATATTCTTTTTCATATCAAACTCATTACTCAAGTAAAAGATCATGCTTAATAAAGCACTTATGGACTAAGTCCAAAACAAGTATACTGCAAGAATTTAGTACTAACACCCTAGATTAGCCAAACATACTTCTTTAACTTTTCACCACAATTCAATATCATTCCATTCAAGAATCATACTTACTCAAAACTTTTTTGGACTAAGTCCTTATCATATACTCAAGCCTAGATTCAAAGGAAAATTGAAGTTTAGGGGAGGTTTTATGAGATAAGAGAGTGAGAGATAAAAAAGAATGGAGCGAAAGTTGAAACTTAGATTGTAATCCAAATTTTTTGGGTTGAAAACCCTTAAATATCCCTTAACTCACGACATTTTCATTACAGTGATCTGTTTCTCGCTACAGCAAGCCCTTTTCTCGCTACAGTAAAAAAAACTAGACAATATTTGTTCTTTGCTATATGTTATTCTAAGTACAGAAAGAGTTTCTCGCTTCAGCGAGAGAATCCCTCACTAGAGCATGAATCCTAGCTACAACAAGAATCCTAATTACAACGAGAATGTTGATGGGTCATCCTTATTCACTCCTCACTACAACGAAAGAGATTTAGAGAGTTGGATTTTGGACGCTCTTTCTTGTTGTAGCGAAATATAATACATTTTACACCATTTAAACTCTTCTAAATTAAAATAATTTTACACGTACAATCAACATACAAAGTCATAATAATAAATCTAAAAATAAGAATGTTACAAACTTCGTATTCCAGACAAAAATGAGTGTTCACATAAATATTTAAGATGTTTCATTTTAAAAAATATAAACTAATGGATACAAGCTTTGTTGTAAAATGAGAAATTGTTACTTAATAGTACTAATAACAAAATAGATGCTTCTATTTTTAAAACCATATTTTATTTTTCAACCACAAGATTTGAATATTTGTTGCATGCTGCTTGTCTATATTTATGCATTTTCTAGTTAAGGTTGTTAAGCTGATATAAAAAACTTTCAAGAAGTGTTAGAACGGAAACTTTTTCTTGATATTTTAGAAGTTAAATTAGTTAAATGTTATTTTTATTTTTTTTTAGTTTGTAACTAGTTTAGTCATGCAGGTAAAATTAGGTGATTATAATAATGCTGCTGGTGCTACTGCTAATAATAATATGAGTTTTGTTCTTGACTATAATAATAAACGTGTGATCTGATCCAAATATCTGATCCTTGAAAAACTGTTTGACTTAAGTATCTGATCCAAATTTGTTTATGATAATAATACCTCATTCAGGCATCAGGCGCAATTGGAGTGTGTAGTGGCAGTAACATACCCTTTTTTTATATCTCCGTGTCCTCTGCCTGTTTTTCAGAAGCTACCAAAGAGAAATATTATAATTTTTGTTAGAACATAGATAAATTAAAAAAAAACAAAATATTACTATAATTTTTATAAAAATTTATTGCGTAATTATTATATAGCAAATCAAAACATCAGGTGTTGGAAAGATATATAAAAAGACCAATGCGAATTGTTTGTGTAACTTGCGTAATTTAAAATTCTTGATTGTGCCCACAGATTTTTTTTTTTTCAATTTATAATAAAAAAGCGGTATACATGTGTTGAGTTGGCAACTACGTGTTGTCGACAATAAAAATTTCAAATTCAACGTAGTAGGATCTTTAATGCTGTTCATGTTGTAAAACTTTTAGCTATTCCCTACTAGGTATCAGTTGATTTTTTAAAATATATTGATGAATGACTCTCAAGTATTCATGGATTGTATGTGTATTTTTAAAGTCAAGAAAAGTTTAAAAAAAAGAAATAAAAAAATTATCACAAAAGATAAAATAAAAATATGATAATTTTTTGTACTAAATCACCATATCACTGTCATTCTTTTGAAGGTAAAATTTACTATACTCTTTATAATTAAAAAGTTTAGTACTCTCTCTTATATGTGCAATAATTGTCGTTAATTTTATGCTAGTAAGTAGTGAGATAAATAGTTTAGTTAAAAAAAATATTAATATCCTTCAATCTTTAAGACATATAAATTATAACTGTTAATCTAAAAAGAGTATAGAATATCTTTTCAAATTTATGGGCATCGCAGTTAGCACTTTTATTGAATCACAACCAATGGTTATGATTGAAGATGATATAACATAATTTTGGGAGAGCATATAAAATGAAACCGAAGTTGTGCTCGCTGTCATCTTATTTAAGGCTTCCACAGTCAAATACAGGACCGAGAGTTTCAATTTCTGCACTACATTGGATGGACTAGAAACCTAGTGTTTGTAGCCCTATTAACATTTATGCATAGTTGAACCCTTTATTTTGAATCGTTTCTGTAAATTATAATTGAATCAGCAACACAATTTGGTTCAAGATGTTGAATCTTACTTTGTCCTTCTACTTCTTCGCACGTTTCGTCTTTAAGTTTGCAACACGGGTCGCTTAAAATACCGATATTGCTTGATACAATAATGGTCCTTTTAAATATTCAACAAAAGATTTATTACAAATCCACACAGGGAGTATATATACAATGGGTATCAATTATTTTCTATATACAAATTTCGGACGATTATTTTGAAATGAATTGTTGCTCGATGGAATCGCTCAGTTATTTTAAACTAAACCAAGACACTAATTTGAACAATATTTAATTCCAACTCATATATGATTAATTTTAATATTCACACGTTATTTTCTTATTGATAAAACAAAAAGGTATGTTGTCCTCTTCAATTTACAGGTACCAAAGAAAATACCTTTTTTAATATAATACCAAAGACTTAAACATCTCTAATAATTTGATTAATTTTTAACACAAAAATTCTATTATTTTTATATCATGTTATCATAAAATTGTAAAATTTATTATTTCATAAAATATATAGTTTAATTTCCATTTAAAATTAAGAATAAAACTGAACATTATATCTGAACAATTAAAAAGATATATTAACTTATGCATATGAAATTATAATGTATTCGAATGAAACATAAAAAGAAAATAAGTTAAATAAATATTCTTTTGTCAAAACAAACGAGAATAATATGAAAATATAATATAATTTATAAATAAATAAATGAAGATAATGTTTATTGTTTATTTTTATTTATCGTATGTAACAATTTTTTTTCTATAGATTATTAAACTTTTGATTACTATTTATTTTGATAATTAAGAAAATAACATAATTTATATATAAAAAAAGTAAAATTGGAAAGATTTAACCAAGGTATATTTGAGAGGAATGAAAAGTTAATAAAAGATAAATAAATAAAATTAAAATTAAAATAATATTTAAAACATAAGTTCAAAAGATAATAAGTTAAGGAAAAAGTTGCACCTCTTACTATATAATATAACATATATAGCTTTTATATATGTTAGGTAAATGCACTGGTTAGTGTGTCCTCTATTATCCATCTTTTGTTTATGTCTTAACGGTCAAACAACCTATAGGACATGTATGAATTGATCGATCTTTGCATCGAATTATAACGGAGACACACATAAAGACTTGCTTAATCCAATAGCATTTAAATTTCACAAAAATTTGATCCCAATCTGAATAATACACATACACAAAAGATTAACATCCACTTCTTGTCTTATTGGCTTCCTTTATGTAACCACCGTAAATTAATATTAATTATTTTCAATCGCTTCATTTTCATATACGCCAACTGTTACTAAACACTCCCACTACTATATAAACCCTGAACCAAGTTTTCACCATCCACACCAAGATAATCATCTCTTCTAAAACTAACTAAAATGGCTTCAACTCACAAACTCTTTATTCATGTTGCTTTCGTAGCTATAACTGCAATGGTCACATCAACATCAATTGTTGAGTCAAGATCACTCTTAAACCCATCATCAACCTCACCAAGCCTTGCAATTCGTTTGAAGGTAGAGGGTGAACCTTCAAACTGTTGGGACTCACTGTGGCAGCTCCAAGCATGCAGTGGAGAAATTATAACATTTTTCCTCAATGGTGAGACTTATCTAAGCCATGGTTGTTGCCATGCTATAAGGGTGATTGGACATGATTGCTGGCCCAACATTGTGGGCTCTCTTGGATTCACCAATGAAGAGACTGACATTTTGGAGGGTTATTGTGATGAGGTTGCTTTCCATTCACCTCCTCCACCAGCACCACAATCTTTGGTTGAGCCAAAGGAGTTAGTTCCATAAGGGAAGTAGCTTTAAATGAGTAATACATAAAAGCATTTTCTTCTTTTATACGTTCCCACGCATACTTACACTCAGTTAGAAATATCATTCTGCTTTAAACCGGTTGATGTGTACTGAACTCTGAATCAATGATATGATATGCATACTGGGTTTTGTGTTTTCTGTGACCCAAATGGTTGTTGCATATGACCATTTTCCCCTTCTTGGTGCATACACTATGGCTCATGTTTTATGCGAACGCATATGTAGTTTAGTACGTAGCACAATTGAAACTGGATACAGCCATTCAATACATAGTAAGAAAGTAAAAAAAAAGGAATAGAACTATAGAAGGAGGATATATGATCTTCTTTTCAAAAGAAAAAATAATAAAAAATTACGAATGAAAGAAAAGATGTACACTCGGAACCATCAGAAAGGATTTGTGGAGATTAATTAAAAAGAAAAAGTGGATGATCATATGACAAATGTGAGGAAAGTGGAAAGACGAAAGGAAGGATGACCGATGATATTACTTTTGTTTCTTAGTTACAGTGTCAATTGCATGTTGCTTGTTTGGCATTACTAAATTTGGAAAAAATGAAATTTTCAACGTATTTAATCATTTACTTTTATTGATAGCATTACATCCTTAATTTTGATTTCTAAATTAGAGAACTATTAATCATAAAAGGTGTACTCTGTGCAAATTAAACTATAAATATTTGTAATTTAATTGTTATATGATAAATACTAACCAATTATCTGGAGCAGGAATGCGTTTTAAAAAAATTATTCATATATGTTCTCGTACTTTCTGAGTAAAAACTTTGATATTGAGTACCTAGATCTTCACACTTGTACCCATTACCTGTAGTTTGTTACTCAAAAATATAATTTCTCCTAATAATATTTTTATAAACTAATAAAGCATAAATATCACAACATTCTTTGAAAATACTTCAAACAATATACAAAATTATAAATAAAATATTAATTTATATTCAAATGAAGTACTAAATTAAAGTATAATATACATATACACTTATAACAAAAACAATTATTTAAAATTTTAATTTTATGTATATGCTTATTATATATGTATTCATATTATTTATTTTATATTAGTGTAAATAAATGAGAATGGATACTTTAGTCCCATACCTATACCCGTAACCATCAAAATTTGCAAGTATTTATTCAAATTCGAAAACATACCCATTTGGCAGGTGTTTAATCTACCCATTGTGAATATTAGATCCATTTTGATCCCTATTCTTACATTACAAATTTATTTCTCTGTAAATTTTAATAAACATCCACAGTAATTTTTTATAAAAATTTTGTATTTATTGATTATTTAATTTAAGATACCGATTAGCAAAAATTTTATTATTTTTATTCTTTTCCTTTGAATTTGAACAAAAAATTTATATATTCTCTTTATACATGCATATATCATTCTCTTCCATTACTCTTTAATTTATCCAAATTTATAAAGTACTCTTTAAGTTATATTCTTCGTTGTCGTTTGACTTATAAATATTTTAGTTTTTTATTTACATTTTATTCTTAATATTGTGATTTATTTCTATTTTTATTTTTTGAAATAAATATTTTTAAATTATTTCATTCAGACAATTAATATTTTGACATACATAATAAATATTTATAACGGCCTTTTTCTTTGTCTATTATGGTTGGGGATTGCTTGCGTCCTCGTGGACCATAGAAATACACTTCATCTTTCCACTTTCCACTGATAATTGCTTTTGCACTATTTTCTTTCTATCTGTTCACCCTTTTCCATTATTTTCAAAATTTTATTTCTGAAATATATTAAATATTAAATTTAAATCTTCTCATGTTATTAAATAAATAAATAAATAAAATACTACAACGAAGTTTGTTTCCTGTGCATAAAATCAAGACTCTTTGATGACTCTAAATCTCCTACATGTGCTCTTACTTCTCGTGCTCTTATATTCTTTATTGAGAAAAGGCTTGTTCAAATTGAGTTAGAAGGTAAAAATTGACTTAATCCCAAAGTGCTAGTTGCAAATTCAGTTATATATGAACTTTGTGTTCTATAAATAGAGCTTTGATTATCAAACTTTTGGAAAAACATGTGGGCTACAAACTCATGATGGAAAAATTAAAGCAGACATGGAAACTATTGGAAAATTTTGATTCATGGATATCAATAATGAATTATATATGGTAAATTTTGATTTAAAACAATATCGTAAAAAGATTATTAATGGACCACCTTAGATGATTTTCTATCATTATTTGACGGTTGTTAATTCGAGCCAGAGTTTTATTGCTATAGAAGCAAAGATGGAGAAAACTTTTGTTTGGATTAAACTTTTTGGGCTAAATCTTTTTTATTATGATGAAAGCTTTTTAAAATCGCTATAACTTTAGTAGTAAGTATTCCTATAAAGGTTTATACCAAAATCATGAATGTGGAGAGAGAGAATTGCTCGTGTTTGTATTGAAATTGATCTCAATCTTTTTGTTGTTGCTAAAGTTTAGTTACAGAATCATTGTACAATGTCACTACTAAAAAGTCTATATATATAGATGGATTTTTAAACCATTACAGACGATTTTTGAAATTACAGATGGATTTCGAGACGGACATAAACCGTCTGTGATATCATCGTCGGTAAGGAATTACAGATAGAAAAATCCGTCTATAAGTTACAGACAAATTTTTTTTGTTTGTAACATATTTTACTATTATTAGTATTTTTTGTTTATATAGATAGTTATTTCTGACTGTTTCTGATTATCACAATTTATAAACATAATAACAACTATAAATTGAGCATCTAAACATTTAAAATAATTTATAAAATTAAAAATTTAAATGTTATTACAAAGGAAGACAAAAGTATCCAAATAAATACATTTAAAAATAAAATATAAGTCTTCATCATGAATAATCTATATAATCATCATCCGAAGGAGCATCACCACCAGTAGATGAGGAGTCAGAGGATAAATGATGCATGGAGGTGAAAACCGGTGGTGCTAGAGCTGGTGGAGGAGGAGGAAGAGGTGTGGAACTGCTTAATAAGCATGTATCTGCTGCATCTGCATATGTTGTTGCTTCATCTACTGCTGGACCTCCCTTTGCATTCTCGAGGCCACCTTCTTCTCTATCTTCTTCTCCATTTTCTTTGCCCACTTCTTCTTCCATGCACTTCCTTACTCTTCCACATCTCCTCATTCTGCTTCTGGAGTTTTTCATTGAGGGCATGGACCTGAGTGCAGATCATGTCCTCAACTTCCTTAGGTGCAAGAAAAGGGACATCTCCAGTGACAGATGCAGGGGACATGGAGTCTGCAAAGCGGCCCCCCATGCCATAAATGCGACCTTTATAAAAGGCACCTATTGTTTGTGACCATATAGCATCCTCATCTACTGACTCTGGATCTTGAGAAGATGTCTCCTTAAGCCTTTGAACATAATCATCCTACAGTTCAGTTCATATAATTAAATATTAGTTTGGAGAACTATTTAATAAATCACTAATAATAACATATAGTATCAATATATTAATGACTTACATATGTGGCTTGAGATCGTGTATCAACCTACAGGTTTTTGTCCTGCCTGCGAGTGTGTGTCTTCTTAAACAACTCTCTAGTCGCAGGTGGCCTTTTCAACAACTTCTCCTGCAATTCAAAATAAATCACAATCTCAAATATGAAATTATAGATAAAGTAAACTGAATTTTAAAATCACATACCAAGTTCGCCTTAGTGCCAGCCAAAGTCGTAGACCCACCAGTATGCAGTGACCCCCCTTATTAGATGCCCTGTTTGTCTTGTTCTTTACGGAGAGATTTTTGAACTCATCCATACCCCAATACTCCTACAAGGCATGAAGAAAGTTGGTGCTATTCAATCAGCAGTAGAAGTGTCTTGACGAGCCTCAGTGTACATCTGTCGTAGTCTCTTTGCAGTGCGACTCTTTCAGGCCTTGAAAATCATCTTTTCATCTTAGGGGGAATGGAGAAGTTGCTCTACAAAAATACAATTTCATTAGAGAAGGTACAGACAGTCATATGTAATTACACTTAGTTAAATTTAATACACTATTATTGCCTTCCAATCCTTGAACTAGTCCATCTTTGTATCCTTCGGCACCTTTGTAAAACTTATGTAAGGCGCATCAAACATCTTCTTAATCGTATCTGTGACCTAGTGTAGACCTTTCTGTGGTGGTATCCAACTGATAACACAATAAAATAAAACATCAGGACTAACATTCACATAAAATAACCAATGTTTGGCATATTTTGAAAGAAACTTACCAAGTGGACCCATCCCATCTCAAAGTTTGTAACGATCTCGATGATGCCTGGGTCTGTGATGACTACTGTCTACTTCTAGTTGGGACAGCAGTGGATCCCTCTCTTGTCCCCTATGTAGTAGGTGACTGTGTGACCTGTGTAGTAGGTGGTGTAGAGTGTGAAACTCGCTGTACTAGAGGGGGAGGAGCAATATACCCTAGATTGGGCACTATGATAATTTCCTCCTGTCCCCTAACTTGGGAAGTTTGCACTATAGCTGTTGTGGTCGTCGAAGTGGGAGCCCTGGGTGAAGAAGTGTTGCCACGATCAAGACGATGAGTAACACCTTTCTTACCTTTACCTGCCATATCTGAATCAAATACAATATATGTTTAGTTACAAATACTATAATCGCTAGAAAATATAATTAATTTTTGTGATAACTCAATATAAATAATCATGGAAACATAGTAAATTGATAAATCTACTTAATTTACCTCAGTCACTCTGATAGTTCAAGACTACCTTCATCATCAGTCGATGAATTTTCATTCATAAATCCTTCCTCCTCATCTTTAGTCATGTCATCCAATTCATTATTTCTCAAAACTTGGGTAGGAGGGTCAATTATTTTAATTTCATTCAAAGGAGAAGATAAATTTGGAGGGACAAAGTGTCTATTACTACACGTGAAGGGATTGAGTCATCCATTTG